TAACTTTAATTTTTTTTCAAAATATAATAATTACAAAAAAAAAACGCTCAATCGAAGGGGGCGACTTTTTCGATCTGTACATTGGAGCGAGTAGGTTTTCCTATGTTTATTTCCTAGTACAGATGCGAACGGACAAGAATTTCCTTTGATAATGATTAAACTTATTTGCTGTAAGAGGCAGCTGAATGTTTACTTTGGACATTTAACATCGTTGATCCTTCAACCTTTTGAAATATTACAATCAGTCCAATACTCATATTTCCGCTCAATCGAAGGGGGCGAGTTTTTCGATCTGTACATTGGAGCGAGTATGTTTTCCTATGTTTATTTCCTAGTACAGATGCGAACGGACAAGAATTTCCTTTGATAATCATTAAACTTATTTGCTGTAAGAGCCAGCTGATTGTTCACTTTGGACATTTAACATCGTTGATCCTTCAACCTTTTGAAATATTACAATCAGTCCAATACTCATATTTCCGCTCAATCGAAGGGGGCGAGTTTTTCGATCTGTACATTGGAGCGAGTAGGTTTTCCTATATTTATTTCCTAGTACAGATGCGAACGGAGAAGAATTTCCTTTGATAATTGCTAAGCTAATTTACTGTAAGAGGCAGCTGATTGTCTACTTTGGACATTTAACATCGTTGATCCTTCAACCTTTTGAAATATTACAATTTGTCCAATACTCATATTTCCGCTCAATCGAAGGGGGCGAGTTTTTCGATCTGTACATTGGAGCGAGTAGGTTTTCCTATATTTATTTCCTAGTACAGATGCGAACGGATAAGAATTTCCTTTGATAATTGTTAAGCTAATTTTCTGTAAAAGGCAGGTGAATGTTTACTTTGGACATTTGTCATCGTTGGTCTTTCAACCTTTTGAACTATTACGTCAGTCCAGCATTTACAAAATTTACAAGTCATAATTATTTTTCTGATTCCAATTTAATGTGTATACTTCATCTTTTGAATATTTCATTTTTCTGAGTGTACTCAAAATTTAAATTGCATTCCCGATCAAAATCATGTGACAAATACTGTGTATAATATTTTATAATGTTTTTATGTGTATATTTTCTGAATTTCTTTTACATACTTACGTACCTCTATTTTTGAAGTCTATTACTTTTGAAGTTTTTGATAGTATCCTCTTTTTGAATTAATCATAACTTTCTTCGAGAGCACAGACTTACATTGATTTTTGGTTCAAACTTTTGATGTTTGTTCACATATTTTTGAGTGGTTTTGAACTTTGACAGTATTTTGTAGTCTGGATAGTTACATAGATTTGTTGCGATGGATGCCTTTGAGGGTCTTGTACTATCCACAGTTTCTTTAATTGAAAGTGTTTTCTTCATATGCCTTTTATTTTCTTCTTGAGACTTGTCATATATGCTTTCCGCCTAGTTGCAAATCTGTGCGTATTGATAAACTCTTGAAACCTCTGGCGTATAAGTAAAACTCACTTTTGATATACTAATTTATGTCTCAGTTCAATTCAATCAGTTCAATTTGATTTGAAGTAATTGTCAATTCCTTCTTGAGATTTTTCATATATGCTTTCAGCCTTTGTGCACATTTGTGCGTATTGCTAAGTCTTGAGCTTGGTTGCGACATTGCTTTCATGTTTCGCTATAGATTTTGAAATATCTGGTGATTTTGCTTTTGCATTATTGCATTTGTTTTGATAGTCTGCTCTCATAGTTTTTTTTGACTTCTTATTTCTTTCAATTTCTGTCTTGACTTGAAGTAATCGCCAATTCTTATAGATTCAGTATAGTAATTCTCTTTTCATACTTTACACTGGTAAATTATTATAGTTTTTCTAATCTTGTAATATTTCATATTTGAACTTAACTTTCATTTTACAATGATATGGTTATTCTCAGTGTAGACTTTGAAGTGCGCTGATGATATCAGTGATCTACATGAGAATATTCCATCTTGTCTAGGGCTTTGGAGTGCACTTATGGTGACCCTAGAAAGTTGTCTTTCTCTCATATTTTTACTTTAAATCAAAATTCAAATTCTTACCCATCATATTTATTTCTATCTCTTGTTCACTAGATTTTTTTTTATAATTCCAATTTTGCACCTACATATATCGTAGACTTTTGCATACAATTTTTGCTTGCGGCATTACTCTCATGTATCATGATTTATTAAAATATCTTGTGATTTTCGTTTCGCTATTTTGCATTTTACATATGCTCACTTCGTTTCTCATTTATTACTCATGAAACGTTTAATATTTTGCTTACTTTTGTATTTTTTTGAGAATTCTGTATAAAATCATGATCATATAGCTTTGATATTTCCTTTCAATTTATGATTTTAATACTATTAGATTTACAGTTGCACTTGTGTTGCACTTAATTTTTTTGGAAATTTATTTTGCTCTTTTCTATATTGAACTTCAGAATTTTTTTTTTGTTATGTTATTTTTTTAGTACCTCTTATGGTTTAGGTACTTACTTAGTTTTGAAGTTTTTAGTAGTCAGTCGTGCATTTTGGAAGCCATTGTGATTCCTCACTTCGTGCTTGGACTACTACTGAAGCTTTTGGTTTATTATTTTTCTCGTCCTAGGTATGATGATGTTTTATGTTTTGGGTTGTTCATCATATGATGATAATTTTTGTGCAACTTCACTGTACTTTTCAGCCAGTTGGTGCTATAACCATCCCTCTTGTTTGGTAGACTTGAGGCTATCCCTTTTTCTTCCAATTCTCTTCTAACATTTTTATTTCTACCTTACTTTTGCTACTTGTTATCTGGTTGAATGGTTGTACATTTGTCCTTCCGTGATGACTTTCACTTTCCTTGTTAAAAAAAATTCTTGAATGCTTCTTCGAATTTTTTTTCTGGTTAAGTAGGGGCGAGTGTAACGGTTTCACCGTCCGATCGTATTTGTTAAATCACTTCTCGATTATCATTTCATTAATCCCATATCTAGCTTTTTTACTTGGAAAATTTTCCTGATCTGCGATCTTCCTCGCGCTTCCTTTTCACTCGAGCCGCCGATCGAACAAGAGCTAAGAATTTTCTTCTCTGTAGCACAAGGTCATATAGCACCATGTGCTAGAATTTTGTAGAATGTGTGTCCGTATAGGACAAAATGATCGGGGCCACCCCCTTTCTCTTTCCCTTTCCCGTTGCCTTTGTCTTTGACTTTGCTTTTGCCTTTGTCTTTGACTTTGCATTGCTTGGCCTATCACTTCACCCATGCATGTGCCTTTGCAGTGCCATCGCCTTTAAGTTCAACTTCGCCTACAACTGGTTTTGAAGCCACTATATGTGAGGTCACCCCTCATAACTGGGACCTCCACTTCAAGCACCTAGCTATTCTCGCTTCAGTAAAGTCAAAATGGACCAGCGAAAGATAAGTTGATAGTCTAATAGCAGCGCCAAAGATGTAAAACTTATTTTGTTCTTTAAAACTGTAAAATTGTAATGTAATGAAAATGCTTTTTTTGTTAAATAAAATCTGTTAAATTTTTGTGTTCTGTTTGTTCTTCTATCCTTTAGCCATGCCATGGTCAACACACAGCTACACGCCTGTAGATGTCTTCATGCCACCGACTGAGCTACCGGAAGCTAATGGTAACCCCCTTTCTGTGATTGTGCAGAAAAGTTGGAATCTTCATTGCATTCCATCTTTTCTGGACTTTTTGCGGAAAGGAAGCGATACAAAGGATAATGGAAAGCTGTTATCAAATTATTGCATTGTCATCGGTCCTTGTGCGAAGTTTCAAATTAATCAAGCTTCTGGAAATTACGTACAAAGAGAAATCAGGCTAGGTGAAAATATACAGGAAGTTCCACTTGATTTTGAGAAATCGTCGATTTTGCGTTCTTAACACACCGTGTATAGACTGTTTTCTTTCGAAAAGTTTAGTACTTTAGCTAGGTGTTCCCAAACACGCAGTGACACTGTCTGAAAAGTCGCCACAATAAACCGGCATTAGGATATACTCATATGATAAGCTTTCAGATAATCTTAGGAGTGTCAGTAGTATTGCTAGTTTTAAGTCAACTACGAAAATTATTAGTTGAAAACTGTTTGCACTTTCTGTCTGAAAACCTATTGCTGCGATATATCTCATTTTGCACAGTTTTTTTTTTTAATGTGAATGCACGTCTATCTGTTCTGTAAATAATTTAAATTTGTTCCTATTTGTACTTGTAAACGCTTATGGTTGTTTTGTTTTACTTTTAATTATGCACGCCATGTACCTTCTCTTCGGATGAGTCTTATGTCATTTTTATGATCTACAAGGAATCAAATCTATCACCTATCTATAACAATTTGAAAATGAAACCCTTATAGTACGTGATATTAAACTGCTCGTATGAAAGGGCCTGTCGAAATCTACAATAAAATGTAGGCCTTTCTATTTAAAACATGGATGTTTCCACTTAGTTATGAATCATCCTGTAGAGATGGAAGTATTATCCAAGGAATGAGCATACTGTTCGCTACAATTTTTTTTAGCATGCATACTAATGGTGTTACCAACCGACCCAAACACTAAAAATTCACCTCGTCCATTAAAATGCTCCATCTCAATATTGATGACAATTGAAAAGGGCGGGGGGGGCTTAAGTAGCACTTTTCAAAGGCAGTGCCGGCGATATAAAAAACTGAAGAAGGGGAGGAGGAATGAATGCCTATATCACAAATACGTATAGGATGAGTAGGAGATATGTTTTCAGTTACAACGTTCAATGCATTATGGAACATCCCAAAATGACGTGAAAATGTTTAACATGAAAAAAAAAATAGCTAAATAGGTATAGCCGAAGAAATAATGGGTAAAATGAGAAAAAATGTTTTTAAATTAGTCACGAGCCGAAAATTATTTTGGCGTAATATAATGTATGAGACTTTGATACATCGGATATATGGGCAACCATTTCAATTCCTTTTCTTGTCAAAAATATTTGGAGGCGCCGGGTATCGATCCCGGTACCTCTCGCATGCTAAGCGAGCGCTCTACCATCTGAGCTACGCCCCCAGTTGTAAGTATTGCTACTTGCAGAACTGTTTCTTGCATTATGAAAGTAAAACCACCAGTAATTGAACCAGTTTTCTGTAGCAAGGTCGAAACGTGATACAACTGTATATTAGCGCGTTGGCGATATCAACGAATAAATTAATACCATTAATCTTCAACTGGTCAATGAAAGCATTTTGAGGGTATTGACCGAAATCACTGCGCTTAAGTCAACTATCTATCCCACACTTTTAAACAGAAAAAGCCCCCTTTTTCAACTCATGGAATTGATGTTATAGCTTTTTATTTTATTATTTTCATTGAATGACAAGATCCGTTGTCTATAAAGCATTTATCCTACTGTGGTCACAGTTTTCTTTTGAGAGCCAGATACCACATCAAATAAAAATAGAAGATTGTCGTCTTAAATTCACGTCAAATCGAGACATAGAGATAGCTCACAATATAAATTTGTTCGTCTATGGCCAAACGTTACCTCAGCTTTTCGCACCACGCCAACTGCGGATAACACCTGCCTTGCATATAGGTACCTGTAATGTGAGGCAAGAAGTACAACCCATTTGCTACATCATGCGGCAAATGGTATAATGGTAAACAATATCACTATGGAGGAAATTAAAATTTTGGTGGATATATGGAACCATCACAGCCAGGAATGCCTTCTGATACAATGGAAAAGTTAGCAAGATATGCTAAACCCTACTCAGCGATCAGTGGGAATAGCAAACTGGAGAAAATATATGTTTGCATATACCGCTGGCTCCAAGACCGAAATAGGTGTTGGATTTTCGTGCCTAGACTAAATATTGAGGAATCACTCAGCCTAGGAACCTAAGCTGTATATTTGTGTGTCAGAATGATCGCAGAGCAACTGAGACATAGGATTTAGATATATAGTCAAGCCGCATCGAAATTGGTGTTTAATTGTAAACAAGGTATTCGTAGCTTGGCTGTCCCCATATAAGGTCCGACTCATACCCAACTAGCATTTTGTTGAAATGGGCTACCACACAAGAACACGTCACCTGTATTTGTCAAATTTTAGTAACTATATACTTGAATGCTGACCTCAAAACTTGAATTGTCTTGAGAGATTAATCCTTTCTCAAAAAATGGCAACTACGTACCAAATTAGGCTCCTAATATACCTTTGACCCAGAGGTTAAATTTGTTGCTTCAAAACAATAAAAAACACACCTCTAAAGAGTACTTAAAGCATTCTTGACCTCGAAGACAGAGCTTATTTATTATGGAGATAACATGCCGAAAAAGGCATGTAATTATAAAAAAAATATGCAACGTCTCTAGATTTTTTTTGACGTATGCAACAACCAGCGAAAATAGGCTTAATATACTAATCCATATAATCCGGTCTCTACTTATTAACTAACAATATAAATTCCTGTAAGTGTGCAACATAGATTGGTAAAAAACAAGACAATATGATTACCAAATAACCCTGTCGTCCACATTGATGTTACAAGGATGTTTTTAGAAAATGTTCGTCTAGATTTCGACATTGACACTAACTTTAAAGGAAAAATTATTTCTTTCAAGGACTGTCAGAAAATTTAAACCGGAAGAGGCCTGAGGCTTATTAGGCATATCTTACAATACTACCGGGTAATTAAATAAGACTCAGCTATAATGGCACAACTGTCAGTGTCAGAAAGGCCGCCATTTCGGTGGAGAAAATCGCATGTGAATTCCCCTAGTACAACGATGTTAGAGGTTTTAGTGTTCAGCAGCAGCTTGTGTTGCCACATATCATGCCAGCGGCCACAGATATTCTTTGCAATCGTAAAATGATAATATTTCGATATGATCTGATATAGTTTGTGTTAATCAATAATGAAATGAGAATGTTTGTCCAAAAAGAAGCAACGGATGACTACTTATTTATGAAAAAGCTTCAAAATATATTTGTAATGGTGAAAGTATTTACAATAAACCGACAAATATTTACTTATTGCTATGTATTCTACGCTGCTGCGATATAATCAATCCATTGTATTCTCAATGCAAGCAGTGCTAAGAACACCAGACAAATCCAACCTTCACTCAATCACACGGTGTGATTGTCGCGGAAAAAAGACGAGAGCACTTGAACATTTAAACGAGAGATTTGATAAAGAAAAACGAAAGCTCATGAACATTTAAATGAGAGATTTAAGAAACATTGCTCATCAGGAAAACTAAGCCATGTTGCACGAATATTTTTTTATTCTTCGACCATTATAAACAAATTCATTTAAAAAATATATGCCTTGTCATGTAATTATGAATCACCTTGTGGAGAGCGGCATATTTTCCAAGTAAGGAGTTGCCCACATTTTTATAACTTTTCTATGTATTTAAAATATCGGAACTACCGACCGCTTACACATTAAAAACTCACACTGTAAGTAGAAACACACTAGCTGAGCAGTCGTCAGAGGTGTCAGGTTTGATTGCGGTGTGCCAGGTTGTTTTAAAACTTTTTCATAAATAAATAGTCATCAATACTTCGTCGCTTCTTTTGGACAAACATATTTCTCATTCAGTTCACACAAATTACACCAGATCATATCGGAATAGTATATTTTTTACGATTGCAAATAATATCTGCGGCTGCTGGCAGGGTACATGGCAACAACGGCTGCTGCTGAGCCCCAAAACATCTTTCATTGTTGTACTGGGGGAATTTACATCCGACTTTATCCGCCGAAATGGCGGCCGTTTTTGACAGTGACAGGAGAGTTTCATAGCTGACTGTTATCTAAGCTGTGGTAATGGTGCGAGCCGCTCAATATTCGGACTGTGTAATACAGAACGTTATTTTGAATTGGTATTTTCTTCTCTATGACACGTTTTAGGACATACCCCTTTTTTATTGGAACAAGCCGAATACCGAATTTTTAATTCCGTATAATAGCGTATAAACAACAAATGTAAGCATGCCTATTCGTCCATCTCTCTCGCTCTTTCACTCTCCCTTTGGATTAGGCAACAACTGTAATTTAAAAAGGGAGAATGATCCCTGTCAGGAATTTTTTCCATCGCATACACGCAGTACGACGTGGGATTGTAGTATAATTCATACACATCTTGCCAGTTACGGCAAACTAATAAATACACCCTACTTACATCAATCAGAAAAATTATTTAATGCCAAATTGTTTGTCCAGAAACAAAAACCAACACCTAGTTTCACATTGATTAGGAATTTGGTCACTAAGTAATTATGTCTGAAATAGGGTAAACTCAACTTTAAAGTCAAAAGTGCATGCTATTTCGACCTACAGGTGGAAATTCTGAAAACGGCTATGTTTGATATTATAATCTTTTTAGTATTAAAACATTAACTAATCGCTTACATATTATGTTACTTTTTCAAAAAATACGTAAGTAACTCAAAAACACGTTAAAGACAAAGCGTTCTTATAATTTGAGGTGAATTCGTTAATTTAGCTTATTTCTATTACCCGTGAATTATGGGATATGGGTACATTTGACGAAAAGATTTCCTGCACGAAATAATTATTTTATAGTCACTACAAAAAATGGACATACTTGATTATAGACAAGAGCATCACCAGTTAATCTTACTTTTAACCAATACGTTACCAACTGTACATATGAGAAAGAGTGATTGTGCGAGATAGTATGTTTCTTTTATTTATTATTTTATATGGCAAAATTACTACGATTTAACCACAGGATGACCTGAATAGTTGTTTATTAAATATCCTTCAACCTATTAGTAATAAATGCCTCATCGATCTAATATCGACAATAAATGAAACTACTTTGGTTTTATTCCCCACTTTGGGGAAAAGGCAAACGTAAATTTAACCTTTTTTTAAATTATAATGATTGTTGGGTATGGATAGCGGATAACGGGACTGTACACCGGTGATTGTAAATTGCACCATCACATTAGCAAACTGGTCATAGTGAAGACGATGATTGAAGACAGGGAGACGGAACTGTTGGAAGAGTATTGATCGAAGTAAAATACCTGAAAGCTATTCCTCCAAATAAGTTGATTATCTTTCTTACGGAGTCAGAGCTACTGGGACAGATATAAATAGGTGCAAACCGCAATAGACCACACAAAACCTAACTGAAGCATGTGGATCGCATTAGTTTTCTCTTGGGTATAACTCGATGTTTTACATTCACACGAGACTAGAAAATTCTTTGGCAAAGGTAAACAACACAAAAATATTACAACCTAATGTTACAACTTCTTGATATAAAATCTATAATCTTCAGTCGCTATCATATGAACCTGGCGTAAATGAGCATATAAAGTGTATCTCTGATAAAACATCCTTCTGCACATAGAACACTGAAACGTTGGATCTTTCTTGCACTCATACTTGATGTGACTAGCTATATGACGTTTATGCATGTAGTTTCTATTGCATTCGAGACAAAAGTATCTTTCTGTTTCTTTGTCGTAGCTGTAACCAACAGCTGGGTCGTCAATATACGGTATCCCTAAAATTATTATCATTGTTACCAACAAAAATAGAAAATCGATTGAAGAACACTCCAAATATCGTTAAAAAAATTGATGACGTTACTGAGTAACTATTAGGCAGAGCAAAAATCTTCCATTAAGCCGGTGCAAACAACAAAAACAAATTACAAAAAATTGTTTTTTTCTCTGCCGCAATAGTTTTTTTGTGGGACGGGGATCAATCATTCTGATAAAAAGACGCCCTTCATAACTCCCTTAAATTAGCTGCTTCTGAGTTATAAGCAAGGCTGAAAAATTTTGTCACCCCATAGTCATTTTCATCGCTCAAGAATTCTGTTAAAATTAATTATTTGTGATGTTGCTAAGTATCTAAATTGAGGCGCAAATCTTCCCGTATACAATCCTTGAAAAATATTTTGAGCTTAATTTATTTTAGACCATTGGTATTTAATTGTTAGTACCGCGAAAATTCCATATACTAGATCATATGGACGCGTACGTTATTGACTATTAAATAACAAAATGAATCAAGTATGAAATACTCTTCTAACCTTAATTTAGACGCCTGGAAACCTCAGAGGTAAACATTTTTAACAGAGTCTTTGGACATTAAAGATAGTCAGTTTTAGGGTTTTTACGACGTTAATCGCTTGTAACTCGAAAATCGTCAAATTTAGGGGAAAGTTACTAATGAGTTAAGGATCTAAATCCTCCTCCTAAAAAATCTTACTTCGGAACAGAAGAAAACAATTTTTTATACTTAGATTGAATTTTCTTAAACAAATTTTCTCCGAGTTACCTCCCAGCCTCTTGATTCATATATATATAAATATTATAATAATATTACGTGAGCAGTAGTCATTGCCATTGCCAACGACCAGTTGGGTAAAAAATACAATTAATTGTTAATTGGGAAATTGGCAAACGTTTAGGCTTTAGTTAACTCTTTTGACGAAAGCTTGATATTATCGTCAAAAGAGTTAGCTAAAGCCTAAAAGTTTGCCAATTTCCCAATTATCAATTAATTGTAATATATATACATACTATATATATATAAACATATAAACATACGAGTATATCCAGGGGTTCCATTGTCATTCGGTTCATGTTTTGAAATATAAACAATAAATTTTGGCTATATGAAAGAAAAGAGCTTAATGAAGACGAATAATTTAATTTTTCTGTTTTATGAAGACGTAGGTATTTTTTTCTGGTAGCTTGAATTTAGAAAAACGATGAAATAAGGGTTCATGCAGACGATATACTTTTTTTTTGTGAATGAGATTAATTTCTTGTAAGTAAAGCTGTTGATACCGTTTCAAATAAAATTAAATATTTTGTACAATTCCAAGAAAAAGTCTCTTCGCTGACACTTTTTCAATCGCATTTCCAGATTTCTTGTTTCATGTTATATTTTTAGTAAAATATTGCTTGTCTCCATTAAGCCATTACCTTTCATATGCTTCAATTTCTTATTACGAAAAATGAATCAGTTATGATGTAACTACTGATGTGTGTTTGCATAGTGGACGATGTTGTCACGGTAATTTCACATTTTGGTACTTTATTCCTTAAATCTGAAAAATCTGTATACGTCTGAAGCTTGAGAATTAGTTCACTAATTAATCGTCCAGTGTCATTCAAACCTTCACTCTGCTGGTACCAATCAAACTTTTTCCACATAAAATAGTCCATGGTCCAGTTGCTGACTTTCCCAGAGGTAGTTATGTTCGACAAATGATGTACATTGCATTTGCTATCACATTTTTTATTACAAGTTTACATCGGAGACAACATTTGTTTCAAACGGCTACCCCTTTGTCTTGTAAAGCATTTTAAAATCTAAACGAACAATATTTTTGTGAGGTTATTTGGTTGTAAGTTGAGTGTGGTTTGCTTATTTTGACATTACGGAGGTTTCATATTTGCATCCTGGATGTTTCTTTCTTAGGTGTTTCTTCAAGATATACAAGTGTTTCATTTTGGTATTGCAAATGGAACAAACATACGATGTCGTGTCACCACATTCACGTCGGTGCCTTGATAAGCTGCTGCAGTGTATGTAGCGCTGTAATTGGAAAATACGAATATGGAAACCGACATAATGCACTTAGTCCAATATACCGTATCATACGAAAACCAGGGTCATACTAGCATTGTAACCCGAACAATCGCACGTGAAAACAGGTCCAATTTTTTTATATAGATATACAAAATACAGTTTTTATTCTTTAGATCGTTACCTTTTATTGTAGGTGTGCCACATGGACCCTTCCTAGGAACAATTTTCTTTAGCATCTACGTATATCAATGATGTAGAAAAATATTTCAGTGAAGCAAAGTTCACTTCATATGCAGATGTGTGTGTGTGTGTAAAGAGCAATTATATAAAGAAAAGACACTTCGTGGAAGGCCTTTACAATCTGCCGTACGCTCCCGTTGACCTTGGGAGTCATCTTGCCTAGTTTGGAGATTTAATCAGTTTTCCACATGCCATATGAGTAAGCGATGTAACTAAAACACCAGGCGTCTCTTGAGCTACTACTGGCTTACAAATGAAAAACTGTGATCTATATGCGTCCTTGACTAGAGGCGGTGTTGCCAATCTGCCATAAATTATTTATAAAACGCCACGTTTATAGTAAGCAGAATGGAGTTTAGCGCTTTTCACGGTTTTTGGTGGTTACGTCAAAAGGTCATAGGAACTAAACAAACATATCGTCTTATGACCAGGCTACCTTGATAACACGCGACCATGTCAAATAAACTGACGATTCGTCAAATAAGCATCTTGAGGTTGGAAAGCTTTCGAATTAAAAGCTGATGTATACTTTATCTGAAGTCACTTGAAACACTGTGAAATACCGGGTGCGTTTTATATATCTATATTTAACACGCTCTGTTGCTGCAAAAATCGCCAAATTTCGCAGCAAATATCCCCCGTATAAGATCAAAGGCAGTTTCACCGGTCCACGTGGAGCAAAGCACGCCTATGCGGGGACATAGCCAATGAGAAAGCGTGTATTTCAGAGCTCCGAACAAGTGCAGGTGGCTAATGAAAATTGAAACAGTTTAGCCAGTGCCGTGTAGCGGTGAATAAACGTGTTTTCTTTAGTCTGTCCGTGTTTTTTCATAGATTTTATTAGTTTGTGTGTTTTTGACTTTTGAATACTCAGTTTACTTGTTGATTTAATTGTTGTGTTGATTGTTCTTGTGTGTCCTAAATATGGCTCTTTGGAGACCTTGGGAAAATGCTCCAAGCCACGAGGAGATGGTTGATGAACCTGTGCAGGCAGAATTCTTTCATAAAGATTTAGAGGAACAGACCCAAAGAGTAATCCTAAATATGTATGATTGTTTGAAAAACGAAAATCCAGATTCCTCGCAAAATCAAATCTTAAACAGAATTTGTATCCTGACAAAAATCAGTCGGTCTACCATTTATCGGGTTATAAAAAGGGGAGATGTAGTCAACCATTCCTTCCACAGAAAGCGCATAGGGCAAAAATTAAAAAGAATAGACGTGGGTTTTCAGGAAGATATTCGTCGTATAATATACGGATTTTATAAAGAAAATTTGGTGCCCACGTTGGAAATGATACGGGATAAATTAAAAGATTATCCTGAAGATTTTTATAATTACAAATGCTTAGACTCACTGCACTGTATTGTAAAACTGTGTGGTTTTCAATACAAAAAATTAGATAAAAGAATGGTGATTATGGAGTCGTCTCGAATCGTTGAATTGCGCCAAGAATTTTTGCACAAAGTTAAAATCTATAGAGAGCAGAAAAGAAATCTGATTTACCTGGATGAAACGTGGTATGATACTGATGATGTTGTGCAGTACGGCTGGGTTGACGACAGCAACAAGTGCGTTTTAAATGCACCATGCAACCGTGGAAAACGAATCATTATTCTCCATGCTGGCAGTGAAAATGGATTTATACCTAATGCCTTGCTGTTATCTGCCAAAAATATCAAAGAATCATGTGCCGACTATCATGAGGACATGACCTCCGACTTATTTGAAAAGTGGATAGAGCAGCACTTAATACCAAACATTTCCCCAAATTCAGTGATTATTATGGACAATGCGCCATACCATTCCCGACAGAAAAACAAAATTCCGAATACAGGCACAAAAAACAAGACATTATTGATTTTATGAAGGATAAGGGAATGGAAATACCTCAAAAATCAACCAAAGCCATATTATTGGATCTTATTAAAAGACAAAAATTTGAAAAAGAGTATGTTGTTGACAATCTGCTTCAGCAAAATGGCCATGAAGTATTACGTCTACCTCCCTATTACTGCATTTTTAACCCGATTGAGTTGGTCTGGGCTGCTTTAAAAAAAAAGTAAGAAAACATAATCAATTAAGTGAATCGATATTGGCCACAATTAGAGATGCAGTATCTCATATTGCTGCCACAGACCTATGGAAGCAGTGTTCTAGGCATATTATTGAAAAAGAAAATGAATATTGTGTTTTGCCTCCTGTAAATCCCGTTGTAATTCCTCTACAAGATGACTCTAGCGACAGCTCCGAAGGCGAGGATGATATATAAATACCTATAATGTAAGTCTTTATATACCTTTTTATATACCTACCTGCTATGTAAATATTTGCCTATGTCAAACGTTGGATTTCTGTAATTTTTCCATTTCTTAACTTTCAGTCAACATAAATTAAACTCCCAATATAAGTATTTTTTATCCCAAATCAAAAAAATAAGAAGATAGTAAAATCTATTTATTGTGATATAAAAACATTATTATTATCGTTCTAAATAAATGACCGCACGCCTATGATACGTCATGAAATTACAAAGGACGCGCCGACCAAAGGTTTTTATGCTATTTCAAGTGACTTCAGATAAAGTATACCTCTCTTATTTTATTTAAACCAAGTCGTGTAGTATTCCGTATAGGGCCCTAAAAGTTAAATAGCTATTTGATAAGTTACTGTTTTGTGAATAGCTTCTCTCGCGAAAAGTGTGATTTATAACTTTATTGAATGAAAAATATATTCTTAGGTTGCAAATGAATGATAAACATCGTCACTATAAGAAATTTTCAAACAAAAGTAAATTTGAACAAAAAATGCGTCCGCAACACGTGATGGCCACTGAATGCTTCCGAAAAGAATTATCCACTAGGCAACAAGGCATTTACCATATTTCTTACTAAACGATAACAGCTGTGTTTAGACGCCATCAGCTGTTTTGTGGACGCCATGATTTTGGAGCCATCTCTTATCTCTCTCTAATTTTAATCGCTTTGTCTTCTCTTTATATGGCTGGTATTACTGCCTGAGGTCTATGATGTGTTATGTGTAATCAGTTGAATGTTTGAATGAGTGATTCTCGAGGCACTATTTGTATCTCAATTCAGATAAGACTCTAAGACTGAGGTTCCACAATGCTCAAAAAGTCCATTAAATCTTCAAATGAAAGAACAAACCAGAAGAAGAATACCAAATAAAGTTCTTAGATAGAGACTTCAACATTCAAGATTGAATTCACAGTCATTTATTATGAAAAATTTGAGAACTAACAGAGCATCAATTTTTGCAAATATATATTAATATATTAATATATTATGCTCAAGTTGAGTCTAGATTGAGCTACGATCTGTGTTTCTGGGACTGCTTATCATATGCTCGGCACGGGTTTGTAAATGAAAAAAGGTTTGAAGATGTACGGCAGGTGTGGAATCCAGGCAAAGCTGTACAAACCTATTCAAAACGTATCTTATCTTCACCCGTATTATTTATTTACAAGATAACCATATACACCTTCTCGAACCAGCTCAATTTTCTCTCAAACAACCAAATTCATGGAGTCAACACTAGACAAAGCGCCTTTCTGCATATACTGTTCGCGAAGTATAATTCGTTTAGAAAGTCTCCAAATGTGTCAAGATCCAGATTTTTAATGGGTTTTCCGAAGACAATAACTTTATCAGTTTATAGGTATTTATTTACTTTTCATTAATCTACTTTCGTGTCAAGATGGATAACAAATATCGTTATTATTATTATTGAATCATAAAGTATAACAATACCCCCTGAAATCCTTTGGGACTATAAAGATAAAAAAATATTTTTTGTTCAGAATATCACAAATAATCTCAAAAAAATTTGTCCGGGGCGATAATTCTTCGAATAAAAATTTATTTAAACAGTGACTCAAAAAACTTAATCACAATACCTTTCCGAGCAGTACAATTTGTTCATATAATTGTCAAAATGCCTAAATTCATATCGTACTTATGTTGCAGCTCTTTGACATGTAGATAACTGCCATCACATTTTCGATGAAAGTCAACAGAAATATGCCATCTTTCCCTTCTTCCTGATAGAAAACAGCACTAATTCATTTATATTCAGCTCCATGGTATGTCTGTGGGACAGTATCGCCTAAACGTGTTTCAGACGCACATGCAAGGACGTATCCATGGAGTGAAGGGGGGTTTTATGGCTCAAGCACTCCCAAGTTTCATTGCTGAATACAATTTTCCTATGAAACAGCAATATTTTCGGTCTCAAGCATACTTGAAACATGAACACATGTTTGAATCTCATCAGAATGGAATGAGGAGGAACTGATAAATAATTTTCCACGTTTTGTCAAAGCGTCCGTATCGACAAAAATTACCCTACCTTCACAGCATGATCCTAGTATAATACGGTATACTGATTAAAGACCTTATAAAGTATCAGAAAAGAAAGCCTCGGAAATAAAATTAGGATGTGTTTATTTTAAGGTTGTCTAATTTCTTCACTGACCTGCATGGACAGTTAACCTGATTACCGCAATTGGTATGGTCACCGAGTCATGAAAGGAATGAAAAATATTAAACATACCCTTCCACACTTTTTGCAAGTATAGGGTCTGTTTTGACAGTACTCAGTATGAACAGGTCGTTCTTCCAAACCAGCTTCCTCGGCATTTTGCGACACTTCATTTCGAATATCTTCTTCATATGCAGCTGCGTCAGTTTCCGTTTCTGATCCGACTTTGACGACTTCAAATATTATGTTTTCTTCATTTATCTCTGTTTTTTCGACATGATTTCTGATGTATTGAGGTTTTATATCCATTATTTCTCCTGAAAGAGTCTTTCAATAAGGGGTTGTAAGATATTCATTTTACTTTATATTTATTTAAGTAAGTTTAAAAACACAGAGTAAGGTTGTTTATATTGCATTTTGAAATTTGGTTACTATGGTATTGCGACCAGTGCAGTTGTTCTTTGGTTATTGGTCAGATATAAGGGTGAAGTGAACTTTCGCCTACAAATAGTTCACCAAAGCTTGAAGCACCTTCGCCTCACAATAAAATTAAAGACGGATAAATGTCGCCCGCATTTGGAAAAAATGGCAGGCTTGGGCCTCTAGTGAGGCATCCACTCCAACATAAATCTGCCCTTGTCCCCTAAGATGTATACAGTGTGTCAAAGGAGTTGTTCTTTCTTACGGGAGGGCTTTAAATGATGTTGTGAGTAGCATTTATGTGAAAATGTATATTATGTAGTTTACAGACACAAAACCTCTTCCTCTATGCGTGATGTTCAGCTAAATATGGGCAATAAAAAATTGCGACTATATCTTCGAACAACTAAACAACAAATGCAGGTCCCGTTTATATCCTCCCCCCTTTCGGTGTCTGGAGGGTTTCTATTCGAATAAATGTACTTTTCCGTTCTTGTGCTTTTGTTAAAACAAAAAATACTGGTATATTTAAGAAATGTTCAATTTCTGCAATTATACTCCCCCTAATAACACAGTGGTCGAATGTCCCTCAACCAAAATTGTACTATGAAGCATTTAATAAATAGGTAACTAAATTACAACGGATTTATTTTCCAGCGTACATTTTATTTTGACTAGTACAATAAGGAACGTTTCTATAAATGACTGCCTATTTGTTGAACAGTTTTATTGAGAAGCAACGTATAGAACCTAAGTTCGTTGATAGGAGGCATAGTGACTTTGAAGCTTCACTCAAAAATTGTCAAATTCTTCCACAATTCGATCAGCATCCTGTACCCTCTCCCCTCTCTATACACCCCTAGCGAATACTACACCCGTGTACATTAAGAATGTGAAATTTTAGATTTCCTTTGCGGTTAAAGAATTTCTGGCAAATGGGACACTGGAACTGTCCGAGTATCCTGCATTCATACTTTATATGCTGTTTGACGCCGTTTTTGAATTTGTATTTTCTGTGACATACTTCGCAGTGAAAAAATCCATTATCATCCACGTAGTAGCCTAGAATGAAATAATACAAGTTATGGTAAAATCAACTAAATATAACAGTCAAGGTATTTCAAAGTATGCTTGTTCTGATACATCTCTTATTCTCTATCTGGTAATAAATGATACCACACAGTTGAAGAAAGATCAATGTTATTGGCGTTTCGGATACATACAGAATAAGCAATAAATGGTAGCTTAATTTTTTGGCTTTGTTTTGAAAACTTGAAACGTCGGTAGAATTATTCATGATGATAGTTGCTCTCGTTTATTGGTCAAAGGTTGGGAGACGGATCAGACATACAACAAGATACTTTTTGGACGTTACCTGATACAAAGCCATTTTCGAGTTACTCTGAAAATAATTTGTTCAAAATATCTTTAACAATGTTTATTTGAAATATAAGGTATTGGGCCCCTGGAATTGTTTTGATGGGGCAGACCCTGTAAGTGAAGGAGGAGTAAAAAAAGGTCACATGAACTTATGTGATTCAACAATAATTCATTTTCTAGGAGAATACTTAGTAATAACTACCGAGGTGATAGGTACAATTAAAATTCAGTTTTTGAGAGAACTTATATTTTCGTAAAATTAAATTTTTCTATAAATCATCTTGTATCTATTTACTGCTGTTTGGAAGGATAACGTTGTATTTGTGTGTAAACTGTACGTATGAGAAGTTGTATCAAATAAATGAATGGTAGTAGGTTACGGACCTATTATCAATTTTTCATTTGCCAAGATCGATGGGAGATCCTGAAAGTTCAATTTTCTTACTTCAAATAGAGACACTTTAAAACTGTTTGATGGCAATATTCGTACTCAACTATTTCTGAATCTCCATATTCAACTGGCAGCCAAATAAAACCAGATATACAGCATTGACGATTTACTAATATTCCGACCACCTTGCCGGATTTTTTCAAACTAGAAATCGAAAAATGTTAATTTGTTTTTGGTGATAACAATTGAAACCGGAAAGTAAACGGATTTCGTATATCAAGTTAAATATCAATATTCCTTCGAGTTCCTCTGTAGATAGTGACCTAATTTGGTTAAGAATATTTAAAGGAACTATATAATTGATATTTAACAGACCTACTGGTGAACCATACATTTCTTTCAAGTTTTTTTATTTCTACTTTGGAAAAGGTCACCAAGATAGTCGAAACTTTAGTAAATCTCCAATTCGACATCTTTGATTGTACTTGTCCAGCGAAAAATAGAGATGAACCAGCGAGAAAACCTCAGGATAAGATTTAAGGTGTTACAGTGTCATGTCTGTCTCAATTAATAAAAATACAATTATGGCAAGCTATCCAGTATCATGAAGATGCTCCTTATATTAAAACTGCATTTAGTTGAACTTCAGGAGGAGGAGGAATCAACCTTGAATTGGATTGTCTTATTTTCCTTCAGTCAGTTATCGGCAACCCCGTATGCCTAGTCCTCATGTGTGTCGTCAATACATATTTATACTTGGTGGAATAATTACAGAGTGAGCAGTGGAACTGGGGCTGCATGCCGCAAACGTATTTTTGGTGTCTCCTGAAGTTGTCGATTCTTGTATATACGTTTCCGCATCTTGTACATGAGTGTCCATATTTTTGAAGTTTGCGATCTGAAATCATACCACTTAGGTCTAAATTCTACAAAACCTTTCTGATTAGCATTTGCAAAGTATGCATGGATTCTTTATATCACTTTGACCTAAGTTTATTATGACTAAACCCGAGCATTCCTTCCTTCCTTCTATAGGCGATCCAAGGATGAGCGGACAGACAGATTGAATATGCCACAGAACATTTTTTTTAAAATGTCTGCTTTCGATTTTTTTTGCGATTACAATACTTCTTCACCCAGTGGAGTACGAAGTAAAATGTTTACAAGAACTTTTCAGAAGATGTTGAGCCTCGATATATAATTTTTTTGGATATCAGTGGCTACAAAAGCTTTCTCTAACTTTCGGTTACTATTTCAGATTTACTGTAACTTATAAGTAAACAATAAATTTGAAAAACGACGGTTTTTTAATATCAAACAAATCGCTGCAGTAAATTAGAAATGTTTTTATTTCGTACAGATGCAGATCACTTACGAGTATACCGATACTTCTCCAACTTTGATGTTACCCAGCATTGAAATCCGTGTATACATTTTTTTCTGAAATACAGATAGTTTGGCATTTATATGCAGTCCAGAACCGTCTCACGAACAATTTAAATCAGGCAAAGGTAAAAAGCAAATACAGTTTATCTATTATATTTCAACCAATGACAAAAATGTAGAATCAAGAAGCTTGTCTCCACACAGTAAGAAAATGACAGACTATTGGTAGACAGAAATATAAGATGTACGGGGATACATAACATAGATCATAATACTGACAAATAAAAACTACATGAAACACACAATTGACTTTACTGCCATAGTAAATTGGGACCTAATTTATTCTATGAATGTTTCTCAAGTGAGATTGCAGGATATCGTCCCTTTTACATTTCCTAGGGCAAAGGGGGCATTGTAGAACGGTCTGCTTTCCACACTCGAATTGAACATGAGTAAGCAATTGTAGTCTTGGATACTTTTTTCCACATTTTGGACACATTACTTTGTCTTCTTCTGGCGAGAGTATACCTGAAATCAAGGTGTTGGTTATTGAAGAAAGAATCACATATGTTATAAAGTGTATTGTTGTGAGTAAATCATGCCGTCACATATAGATTCCCTTTTTATTAATTTTAACTAAAAGAGCCTGGTTCAGTTACAGAAACAGTTGCAACTACTGTTAGTAAAGAAAGAGAAGCAATCTGTTTCTTATATGACACAGGGGTTACACAATACTAAACAATATGTATGCTTCTACGAGAATACGTTAATATGCAACATATATAGCCCTCATAAGATTACGGACGAACATTTAATCAATTTTAGTGTCCAAGTTATCTTTTGTGAAATACCAACTTTGGCTTTTATGTGGTTTCCATACATTATTTGCACCACAGAACCATCGCCTTATGGTATATCTATGCAATGCCTGTGCTTGCTCACACTATCAAGATGCCATGTTTTCAAATGAAGCTTGAGTTCTTGCTTGTAATAAAACTTAGAATTACAGAAATTACAAGAAACTCTCTTTTCTTGTCTACATTCAATACGTTGATGTCTTCTCAGATTCGATTTCATCGAATACGATTTTCCGCAATAGCTACAGAAGAATCGCTGACCTGGAACTGTTCAAAATTTAATACTTAGTATTGGAAAGAATTCATAGAAATTGGATTTCTAATAACTTTTACTACCAAGAAGCCAAAATTTAGAGTCACTTTTCCTTGACAGCGATATCACCTTTTGACTCTCGACTAGACACAGCTGGGCCAAATCATACATTTCGGTGATTCGATTCCGCTCTCGGAACGGATTTCTTCGATTCATTCGCGATTCCTTTCGATTCTGATTCTCGCAATTACTAAACCAGTCATCGATTAACATGCTCTTGATTTCCGAACCACGAACTAGGTGGTTTCGATACTAGCACTGGCATGAAAGTCCACCGGGTTGCGGATGTGTTGCAGTAGATTTGGATATTGCTCTTGCTTTTGGAGACTCCAACTGAAGAACTAACGGTCTACTATCTATAGTGCCTATTTTGCCGTTGGACGACCACAGCTTAATTGTAGCATGAAACAGGTTGGAGAGGGTGTTAAGGTGTATCTATCAACTGATACACTTCTGCAAGTTCTATTTTGATTGGAGATTTTGATGATTTAATACGATTCCCAATATCCTATTGGAGACTGTACATAAGCTGAGCTTTCAAGATTTTTGTGGCAATCAGTGTATTGACCTTGAAATGGTTTTGCGACTTGTCGTTCCGATTTGGAGGCAACACCCAATGGTAGAGGAGTAATTTCCCTTGCCAATGTTGACGTTAGAGACGGTTTTGATGCCAGAGATGCTTTCGTCTATGTAACTAAACTTTTTAGCAGCAATTTTTTAACCGTGTTTAACACCATTTTTATCATGTTTCATCTTCTGGAATAAATTTAACTTAACACGGATCCAAAAACCATCCACAGACCAAATTCCATACCACAATTATTATCTTGCCGATTACTAGTTTGGAGTCGTTGGAAAGTATAAGATGAAGACTCGTATTATGGTAGCGTCAATATTAGAAACAGAGCGGTAGCGTTCCAAACAGGTTGATTTGCAGTCTTGGCAGCCCTAAGCCATGTAGCCGCCCCTCTGTCAGTATTCATAGTTTGATCGAAATTGATTCAGAAATTTAATCAAGTATGATAGCTGCTAATTTGTAATACCTTCCAAGGTTTCACGGATAATTACACATCTAATAAAACAGTTAAAACGGCTTTAGGGTTTATTTATTCAACTAGTTTAACTACAGGTTCATTCTCATACGATAAAAATAAGTGTTTTACAATGATACAAAACTCGTCTAGACTTAGGTGCTGCAAAATCATTAATTAAGTCTTCATAGTCCAACTTTCTTAAAAAATCTGCTTCTGTGTTAAGAGTTACTGGTGGAAATCCACACACACGCATTATGAAGAGCAATATCCACGTTTGGGTAAATGGTTTGGAGACCTTCGGTTCGTAACCATTTCAAAAAACTGAAAGCACTTTTTCGATCCTCCTTTTTTACACTGCAGTGAGCATGAAAATTGAGACATTCTTCTGAAACGTTGTCTTCTAAGTCAGTAGAATAAGCTATTTGAAATGCTTTGGTCTTTTCTTAGACTCCAGACGCGCTTAGTTTCGTCAAGTTAGTAATAATATTATTAAAGGTATTGTACGGAAGTTTATAAGCATCACGTCGTTTTTGAGCTCTTTTGACAATGTATCAATTATTACCAAAAAGGTGGTGATTTTGAAATTTTCGCGACCGTTCTTTTGTTGCATCTCTTCACCTGTATTAGTGTCGCTAGGAAGTAGCTTACGCTTGCGATTGCGCACAACATCTCTTTCATATTCTTGTACAAATGGCAGTTTTTTGGCTTTGTTCTCAAAATCATCGAAGTTATCTCGTATTTCGAAGATAAAATGTATCAGTACCTCATACAGTTCTACGAGAATGGTAATGTCAATTTCCATACTCCATCCCCAAAACCCAGTCATGATGGCCGTTCCAGTTTCCGACGAATACCTCTTGCTTCGCATATAATGGCCCTCTTCCGTTGTGTGTCATTTAGTAAGATTATTGTGCGGCCCGCCATAATGTGTGTGAGTCTTTAGAATATTTAGGTACTCACTGACTTCTTGATATCATCAGTGAATTTTTTGTCACGATTGGCCGCCCCTAATATCTGGCCGCCCTAGGCCAGCGCCTACAGGGCCTATTGGCAATTCCGTCACTGACTACAATACAACCTGGTTATAAGAATCGGAATCGAAACCATCAAAATAGGAATCCTTCAAGAAGCTCGGAATTGGTTCCTTTAATTCCTTCTGCGATATCGTTACTTTAGAGTGTTTCGTTCAGAACCCATCCAACTCTACTCCCGACATGTTACCAACAGATGGCAGGAGAACGAAGACAGCATTTAGGCGTATCAAGGGGCAAAAAATGGTGGCAATGTTTGAACTATAACGAATACTAAAATGTACATTTCAGATTTGTTGTACAAACATATTTTACATTTTGAAATTAAGCACTTCACAAACGCTCTTTATATGTTCATAACGTGATGGACTAACTAGGCATCAAATGAAGTAGAAATGAAAAGATATTTTCTCAAATTGTGTTTATTTAAACAATGACTTAGTATTTGATTTGACACTCGTAAAACAACTTAATATCCTAAGCTTAGTACCTTCAGATTAATGCCATAATGGAATACTTTTATTAGTAAAACAAATTCACGAAATTAGGCATGGTATCCTGGTATGTAGTACTTATCGTGAACGTTCACAATATGTTGGTTCATCCTGTCTCTCCGTTTGAACTTTTTGAAGCAATAGGAACATTCGAATTTTGCTTCGATACATTGCTGTATTAAATGTGTCTGCAGCGATTCCTTGTTTTTATAATATCTGTAGCATCTATGGCACTGTAGGTAGCTTGTTCGGTCTAAAAAGAATAATGTGAGAAAGAGTTAACGCTAAGGTATGGTACTATAAGAAAGCGTCCACAATATATTTATCTAGAGAATTCTAAAATTGTCAATTGTGCAGAATTTGTGACAATTAAATTCTTGCGTATGTTACATAATAAAGAAGGCGAGTATCGCCTTATCAAGAACGAAATTACGACTACTATGACTCTTAAAATACAAATTTTCCGTATTCTGGGGTGCTTAGAGCCATGTTCTGGTTCAGGTTGCCTAAAATAGGTCACCGCATTTTTTCAACCTTCGGAGTAAGCTTTTTGCTAGAAAGAGGGAAAACATTCTCAAAATATCAGTTTCAATTAAAATCTTAATACTTTTATTTAAATAGCAACCTCTTCAGGCATATGTCAATTCTTAGAAAAGATTGTGACCAAAACGTTATTCCAAAGTGTAATCAGTCATTTTGTCGATGTCCAGAACGGCATCAATAGATGTGTGTTTTCGTAATCTATGTCTTTTGAGGTTGCAAATACTTTTGAATTTGAAACCGCATAAATCGCATTTGTACTTTGCTTCAACTCCACATTGCTGATTTTGGTGCGTCCTTAAAGATGGCGAGTTTTTGAACCTTTTACCGCACCTGCTACAGTCCACAGGTAGCCACTGCTCCCAAAAATCTAAAAATGATTTGAAATTAGTTTAGCGATACAACCACACGTCATATACGAGTATACTTACATACCCATGAATCGTGATATCAGATTCCAAACGTTTTGGTAACTCTTTTACGAAATCGCAGTAAGCTTCAGATGGTATGTGCTCGTATATGCTCATACAATTGGCCCGTAACTCTTTCCATATATGATAGGATTGAAATCAAATCGTATAAACGCAATGTTCGTTGAAAATATTTATTGAAAAACATTACCTGAAACCGCCAAAGCTGCGAAATATATCATGCATATAAAAAAGCATTTATATATAGTACATACTGTATAAAATATGATCGGTCAACTGTTTAATATATTAATATAGTAATATGTAAATGGTTCGGATATGTACTTGAGGAACTGTAAATAGGTACTATTCATATATTTCTAAGCATATAGATTCATCACACGTGTAACTGAGTATTGGTAAACTGGTATATAGAGTATTAATGGAGTTATGAGAATTGAGATCCTTGACAAATTTTATGTCCAATAAACGAAATGGCGTTAAATTAAATATATCGTTCAAAAACTTACGAGTGCACTTTGAAGTGAATATTTGGGATAACATTTTTGAGACATTTCAAAGTGACCGCAGCTATAATTGCCAAAATTTAGAAACAAATTAAAATTATTTATAAGTATCTGAAATATTTTGGAACGAGATGTTTATATATTGATTGTTTTATTAAAATTTCTCTTTTAAGTAAAATACGAGATATGTAAAAGTGGAACGAAATGTTTACCATTTAAATGGGGGCTCAGTCCTACGTTTCAAACGAAAATAGCACAGCCCATAATACCACATGTGTCCAAAATCTAATCTGAAGGCACTACATTTCAAAGTTACTGAAAGTAGATTAGTAAAATTATCATTTTTAAAATGTCACTCCCTTTCAAGTAGTAAGGACAATTCTCAAAACCGTATATAGTCCGATATAAGAATACATACATGTCTTATTATCTAACTTTAACCTAACCTTCCCAACAACCTATTAAAGCAGCAGATATTACGCAACTAAAACTATATTTTAAATAAGATCAACTTAGGAATACATGAGGAACCGAATAGAAATATTCTTGAAAGAAAAAAATAAAGCCTAGACATGATCTTTATCAGATTTAAGGTTTTGGGTACGACCCTTTTTTAGATTTTTTTTTCAACTACCTGTTTGCAGCAGTACTCTAAATCCTTTTTATCTGATAATTTCATGGTGTGTCTAGAGATGACTAAAAAACAATGTTTACATTTTTCTGCCAAAAAATGCATTTTTGCGTATTTTATTGTGCATTTTCTCTTCAATCGGAACCCGTTAACAAATATAAGTACAGTTCTAAAATAGTGTGTGAATATTCCTCTTTTATGGAAAAATGAAGCAAGTTATTAACTTTTGTTCTTATCATTTTTCCTTTTCGAAAAATCTTGTAGAGCCTCATCTCGAAGCAAGTTGAGTTTTCAAGAAAAGCACATATTTTTCGAAGAGAAAATCGATAAGAATGAAAGTAATCACTTGTTTCATTCATCCATAAAAGTGGAATACTCACATACAATTTCAGGGCTGTACTATTATTTGTTAACAAGTTATGATCGAAGAACAATCCACAAAAAATGCATTTTATGACAAAACAAAATTAAAAACGATATTTCAGTCATCTCTCTACACATCATGAAGTAATGAGATGAAAAGGAGTTAAAATACTGTTGCAAACAGGTAGTTGAAAAAAAGGGGAAAAAGTGACGTACGGCCTCAAGCCCATCTGAGATTATTTTTAGTTCATCATTATCTTGACCCTAATAATAATATCTTTCAGTATAAAAGTACAAAAATGCATATAAATATGTAAATGTAAAAAGGCACGTGTCATTTATATTCAGAGAGTAAAAAATACTTTCTATCACATTCTGTAAAGGTTCACAAAAATAGGAACATGCTTTTGTTGCGGAAACACCGTACACTGAATCAGACATGGAGCTACATACATAATATTATTTGCACGAATTAGTTGCAGGATCTCTGCTCTGTCCTTAAGACTGACCTATACTATAGTTTCTTTGAAAAGGTAAGCCTTTCAACAACAAAACTATTACCTGATTTAGCTTTTAAATGTTTTTAGACTCATTACATTGAATGAGATACAACCTGAATTAGGAAAAAATAGAAACTGGTTTTATGAGGGATACTTTCTGTAACTAATTCCTGACTATTGGTCGATTACGAATACAGTAATTTATTCTGTTCTGAAAATATTAATACGTATACTATATGGGCAGTTTTTTTGATTACGTTCATACTGATTATATAGTTTTCTATCATAAAACTATTGACGTATAAGCATCGTTCTGATCTTTCCCAGCCTAGCAGTATCACTTTTCTTTACTTATGAGCAAGTAAAGCTTTTGCTAGCTAGTCGTCGACCCCATTGAACTTAATAAATGAATGGTTAAATATAAAACTTGCATATTTCAAGGCAAAATTAAACAAAACAGTATCAACAAATTAGCATTCCAAACTTAACAGATGCATTTCTAACGTAATTTTCTACAAATTCCTACGGAACGCCACATTTGAGACCAAAAAGAACCTAAAGGCACTAATATCAAATCACAAGTCATCACAATTTTTAAGTAGTAGGTGGAATTATTCTCACAACATGAGATCACAATTTAGTTTCATGTCAGTTTTCAAACCCAATTATTAGGTAAATATTTTCATTAATAAATACTTTAAAGATTCAAAATATTGTGGGTCGTCCTTTTTTATCTAAGTCAACGGAAAAAAAATATCTTTATTATATCATTAAGTGGAGTATTTGTTGTGAGCATTTGTTCAATCTGTATTGTTATTACTGGCATCCTTTGATTGAAGATCAGCGCCTCTCGTACCACTCTTCATTTCATGCTTCACATTCGAAAAATCTAGTTCTTTGTGCATTCGCTCTAAGTGCCTCGCCATATGCATCTTTTGTTTGGCTCTGTAGGAGCAGTACGGACACTTGAACTGCGGTTCTTTACCGCATTCCCACTTTTGATGGTTTCTTAATGAACTTTTGAGTTTATAGGTTCTTCCACAATCGCTGCATACGAATCCTCCACCTTAAACAAAAGACAATTACGATTTTTTTGTAAAACCACTTCCTTGCTGTGTTGATGAGACTTTTACTGTATCTGTTCGAAAATATCCTTATGACGTAACTACTCAGAATAAAGAAGTAAATAGTACTCCTAACCCGTTCAATGTTTATTTGAAGAGCAATTCCACGGTGATATTAACCTGATAATAAAATGCTTGAAGTGTATTATTTTAGAAGAATTTATGCGACTACAGGAAGCTGATGTCAATCTGGCAATACGGCGCGGGGTTAAAGCAGAGTAAGCGGGGTAAGCGTTCTATGAGTGTACATTGCTGCTGATCCTCCAGCTTGATAGCTTGAGCCGCGTTCTCGTTAGTCAATTTTATTGATCAATAATAATGGATCTATGACATTGAAGTGAAACAGTCTAAAGGTGGCTACAAACACAACTGCAAGCTTGTCCAGCATGCTTATTCAATCTTTTTGTACAAGTATGCACAATTTGCCTTTGGCGCCACACGTACAAGCATGCTTGATAAAAATAGAGGTAGTTTAATTAAATATGTCGAACTCCGACGGCGATTCGCTCGCTTTGGCCGCTTTTGTTCTTGTGAAGAAAAGAAAATCCCGAATAAAAAACCGTGCGGTGTGCTGTAAAGAATGGTTGATAAAAGGGAAAACCTATTCTCACATTTACTTACTAAGTGAGCTGAAAATATATCCGCGTGACTGGCACAATTATCTTAGAATGGATGAAGAGATGTATTAAAACCTTGTCTCTTGTATCACCTTTGATGCAAAAGCAGGATACGTTCTTCGGACCGCAACTTGTGCATGCTGGAAAATCTTGGGTACACACGTACTGTTTTGCTTGCGCAAGCGCGCCTAATTCAAGCATACATAATTAAAATAAATTCAATCCTCAAGCTGCTTGTACAATTACAAAGCTTGCACCACATTTCCCTACAGACATTCAAGCGAGCTTGTACAAAAACACTGAACAAGCATGCTGGACAAGCTTGCAGTTGTGTCTGTAGAAACCTTAATGTGAACATCCGTTCAATCATATTGCTCTATCGATTTGCACGGCTGACCAGGTATGAACGAATGTGCCCTGGCAGCGCATAGCGAAACGAGTCTAGGACGATCGGTGGCGCAAGCCATCTGTTACGTGGATGTGGTTGATCTCAGGCGATAATCGGTATATGTCACTCAAATTTTACAAAAATATGTGCCAATACTTAGAGCATACTGTCAGTCGTGACCTGACCCAGATAGCACCTTACATAGGGATTGAGAATATTTGAGGAGCCTGTTACAGTACCTAGTCAGTAAAAGAATCATCATCATATTGCGAGCTTTTTCAATTACCTGAGTTTTCCTCGAAGGTTCTCGATCTACCCCTGGAAGATAACGAAAGATCTAACGAACAAGAATTCAAATTTTGGTAGATAGATTGTTTAAGTTTTTCTCTCATCAGCATCATAGGCAGCATCAAATTAGACGACCAATTTTCTATCTGTCGATTTACCCTTAGATCTTCAGCTAAAAAAGAAAAAAATAGAATGATGGAAACAGGGAAATATGGCGATAGGGGTGAGGGATGTATGTACAACATGCGAGGAGGGGGGGGGGTGGTGCAATTTTATTGCAATACGTGTTGACAGTAAGTTATTAAAAAACGTATACAACTATACATGAATTGATAAACGCTGCTTCAGTGTAAACAAAAATGCTATAGATGTGAAACGAACTTCACTATTCCGAAGAAATAATTATTCAGCTCACTGCTCATCATTAAAGTAAAAACGAATACAAAAATTCATAGACTGAAACCACCTACGGAAAAGCAGAAGGTTCAGTTTGCGATTTTAATATTTGGCCAATTCAACGACAAGGCCGCTAACATGATGAATTACAATTCAATGAAAACTGCGCTTTCTGTGTTGCTAGAAAAATCAGACCGCCGATCTTACATAATATAATTAATATGATGTGTATATATATACATCACTAAGTTCAAACAGCACCGGGAGGAATTTGTTGGTCACTATGCACACATACTGAGTATACTACATTCTAAAACAAATAGCTGTCACACGGTTATCATACCAACTTATCCAGAATTGTATAAAGAAGCAACACGAGCCTTATTTACAATGAAAATAAAGTTATTTACTAGAACGACTTGGATAATCTGTTGCCTCGCATCGTCTTCCATTGAAATGCTCGTTCCTCAGATTCTCCTATTGCTGGTGTTTCCATGTATGTACTCGTAGACTACATGGTTTTTGATGATGGTTCATGTAGCTTCTGACAGAAATCTATTAAAGCAAATTACATTCCTGGAGGGTTTCCTCTAATATTATACGCTCCATGTCGCATGCGAGATAGCTAAAATGTCACAAGAATCTCGCAGGCCACATTTTTCAATACACAAAATCTCGCGAAGCTATGACCATGACAGTGGATGAAATATGACAAAGTAAGGATATGAATTGCATGAAAATACTTATTGTGACAAACAGAGACATGAATCACAAAAAATACATCCCAGTGTCGCATGCGAGATTCGAGAACACCACTACTCTTTCTTCTCATTCTACCAGATGTGGTATGTAAGCAAGTATAGTAGATCTATCCCTAGCTGCAAATAGCGAAAAACGGATAGCAGTCTTAATACGCTTAGGTTGTTAGTTTAGTCATTATAATCGGAAGTATTACATGACCTGTATCCTTAAATTCCTCGTAACCTCCCAACTATATTATAGAGGGAATAATTACGTGATACAATAATCAAATCCAAGCGAATAACCAAAATTTCTATGTTATGTAGCGCGGTTATAATATGGTTCAAGATGACACACGGGTTGATGACGTCAGTTACTCGAATCGCTTGAACGCATTGGTTTTAACCGCGGTTTTGTTGCAAGTTGTTTATTTTAGAAAACCGCGTATATAATTTCTGAGTAATTTTATTATCACTTAATAATCGGTGCTTTTTCGTCTACGACGGTGTATGGAAAGTTTAAAAAAGAAACCTTTCATATTAATGGGAAAAATGTTTTTTTTTCAGAAAAAAATGTTTAATGATGGAACCATGGCTTTGTAGCTATGATAACTTTCAATACTCTAAACTTTTACGCATGTCAAAGAAATCATTAATTTATTGATTTAGCAGATATGATAGGAAAAAGCGATGAAAAAAAGATATTAGCAAAACCGTATACCTACAGGTGGACATCATCCAGTGAGTTTACATGGCCATATTTTAATATTCTTGTGGTATATGGCTACACCGGATACTTTGTTAAGCATAGGAACTAGATTTAAAGTGTCCCCAATAACAGTCATGCTTATAAGTAATAAGGTGCGCTCTACTTTATGCTAAAACTGAAGTCAGCCGGTATCAAATTTCCCAAAAATGACGCTGACGTACAATAAAAATATCCAATACCCCTCAAAATTCGAACTTGTCACATTTCAAATAGTAACCAGAAATATAAAACTACTCCCGAGTTGGGTAAATACCACAATACCTGCGGGGATAACTATGACATATAACAGCTGATTCATGACGCCACGGATTCTATAACCAAAGTAATAACCACACTCGCTTGAACGGATCGGTAAATACCATTCCAAAATGGTACATACCATTTTGATTTGGTTATTCGCTGCGGCTGTATCACTTATCTATATAAGGTCTCTTTTACGTGGCTCCGTTTGTTTTTCTCTATTCCAATTATTATTGGATCTACTATTTCATAAACGTTAGTATATAAATATTGTACTTATAAACTGATTATTATTTGGTCTTTACTAGAGCTTCGAGTACAACAAAAAGAAAATTCAGTACTTCTTTGAACTGCTAGTGTGCTTCCATAACTCAATGTTCAACTAGATTTAGACGCTTGATAGAATTGAAGTGCTGAGTATTATTATGAGAAACGAACTTCATTACTATTTCTAACAGGCAGTTTTCAAAACTCACAGAACGTGAAAATAATATTCTTGAATGCCAAAACCGCGCATTTCGTGCTACCTATATCAGCCAGATATGGCGCGATATAAGATTCATGCAAACCAACCTTCAGATTCCGTTTTTACTTTTTACGTCTACTGGTCCGCTTTGGCATTGTAATCGCGAAAAATTTCGAAAATGAGATATGCTTTTTGGATGTTATATGACATGCACATGACAAAAAACCTGCCCGCAAATCCTTGGTCCGTCTATAACTTGGAAAGTACTATAGTTTTGCACACAATGTTACTACTATGTCAAGAAAAAACAAGCTTTGTATTTTTTAGAAATCAACAAAGTGGCGGCGGAAGAAAAGGTCAATAATCGCTCAAACTTCGTTTTTTGACGTTTCAGATGCTCCTGACCATTATCAGAAAATTTAGGGGAGGGTACATCTCAATTTTTTGACGTTAGTATATTTATGCTCTCTGGTAATTCTACACTCCTATTAGACATGTTTCACACATCACAGATTTCCCTATACATTTGCCATTAAAACTTAAAATAATAGAGAACTGTTTGCGTCACACGACTCTGCTTTTGTTTGTGGGTCCACCGGCAGGCGTGCGGATCCCGAACTCGATAAGTGTCCTATCTTTACTGCCGCGGTGCCGCGCTACCCCGTGTGGCTGGTTTGGGGCAGTGCGGAGTCAACCTACTTGACGCCATTTTTTTTGCAAAGTATTATTGCGATTCGTCTGATGCAGCTACCTTTATGTGTAAGGGTGGTCACGAATGAGCACAACTTTGATACTTTAGACATTACAAGGATAGCTATATGTGCAACAAATACATCACGCAAATGCTTTTTTGATATCTTCATAATTTATTAAGTTAGCTTTACACAAATAAATAATTAACCTAAGTATCTCACATAAATAAACACATTTTGAAAATCGTATAGCTTATAGAACATGGGTATTCTAAAAAAGACAATAATGTGACATCAATATTGTTAGTAATGGTAAAATAATATTCATTTGAATGATAGTTAGAAAAAAAAATTTAATATTGTAATTTCAATAATAATTTTTTGAGTTTAAGAAGCTGTCAGATTAAATACATATCAGATTTTGACTAATTTGCTGAAATTCAATAATCTGCCCATGTCCAATACTAACGATTCCCCGTTATGTAAAGACTAGATACGAATATGGCAAAGCTTAAATGTCTACAATAAATACCTAGCCTACGTTATTTGCATTTGTACTAAGAGAGCTACAATGTTTAAAACCCTTTTAAAAGCTTGTACTTACATATGGCTGTTTCACATATGACTAGAACGTTTCATAGAATACGGCAACTTACACGCACTTATTTACTAAGGTAAAAGATATGCAAAATTTGCATTCAATAAATTAACACAGTTTTCACAAAAAAAAATAAACTGAAAAGTATCATTCTTTGAGAAGGAAATTAACTTAAAAAAGAAAAAGTAACTTATTATTTTCTATAATATAAGTATAAAAACTGAAAAGATTTCTTTCACAAATTTTTAATTTGAAATGATAGCTTCACCATTGTACTCTGCATTCTTTGAAGGTTTACTTCCAGTAGACACGAGCGTTAAATTGTTGAGCTGGAGAAAAACACCCTTTCAGCATAACATTGACATAGATGTCAACATAGTCGATGCGCGTTCGATCAAACGCAACAATTTAATGCCAGGGTGTACTAGCAATTAAGCTGATACTATATACGTATAATGTTGGAACGTCAATGGTAGTGAACTATATTAACAGCTCGGGTTGAATATACATGTTCTATTACTTTGTGGTACAGGGACTTTCAGTTATAGATATTTGTCTATCATAATAATACGTGATCAACAAAACACTCTTCAGTTTATGAAATGTGCTTATCACGCAATAGAAAAAATCTTGCTTCAGTGAGATTACATATTTAACTTCTCTGACTAATCATCACATAAAAAACGATGAAAAATCAGAATCTTATTTAGTGGCTACCGTTAACAATATCCGGCGACACGTTTGTGTAAAATAAAAAACACAACTTATTTTTTACTGCACTTTAAAGTAGAAGGACCAAAAAAGTAGATGGCCCTCTATATCTAAGGCCTCCTTACTGCAACGTCACTTAGTCGTTAACTACAATTATTCACTATTTTCCTGACAGAACGCACATGACTACAGATTTTTATGTTACGTCGATAGAAAAAATATTCCACATCAAAAGCCAAACTAATAGTTTACCAAATATGAATGTTTCAAGAAGATTGCCCCAGTATGAAAAGTGATAAGGAGACAATAGATAGGCGTAAAAGATTAGACGGTTTTCTGGTACTCCTCAATGGAAACATAAATATGGCGACCACTCAATGAGAACGATAAAAATTACATTTGCTTCCATTGTCAGACGACTGAGTAAAATAGTGAATCATTTTGAGAAAAATATTTGTTACTGTAAATTTTTACTCATTTTCAACTACAGTTTCATCCGGATCAATCATTTGTATTGCCGCCTCTGGAATTACTTTTAACTTAGCTTTGCTTGTCTCACCATCGCTGCCTTGACTTTCCTCCACTATAACTTGAACAGGCTGGAAGGGTGATGACGCCACAACCTCTGTTCTGACCTGTCTGTGACGTAGCTTCTGAATGTTGATCTCGTGAGTATGACGCATGTGCTTTAGCAGAATGTACCTGTCACATAAATCATATGAAAATATTTAATAGGGAACTTTCTGTATATTTTCGGAAACTGATCATCCTCGTCAGCCTGACGGTACGTGGAGAACTGACAATGCGTAGTCTTAGCAACCACTGTTATTGCTGTTAATTGATAGAATTTGGAATGTAATTCTCGTGATGCACGATAGCATTACTTACTGATAGTATACTACAAAGTGTTCGAGTTGGGACTGTTCTAATAATCTGAATATGCGTGTGGAGCATAAGCAGCATATTGAAGACACTCACCGTAAGGTTACACTGAATAGCCAGTACATTATTGGTAATGGAATGGGCCAATTACTTAGGATACTGACGCATGTATCTTTCTACCTAATCCTTCGCCGGAAGCGGAGCGAGATTCGATATCAAAGACTTTTCTATGTTTTATTTGAATCATTATTACAAAAACTATGCCTTGTATAAAGGAAAGTTCCTACTGTAACCCATTGAGGTCTACCGACAGTCTTCCGACATGACCACCATATTTACTGGTTTCCTAGGATTTAGGCTCTTCATCAGCAACGAAATATCTCTATCAAATAATGGAACGTTTATCCTTCTCAATTTTGTTAAAAATAACACAGGTACCATAATTCATATTTATCGTGTAGTTCAAAAATACTAAGGACATCCATTTTTGCCATATTATAAGAACTTGCCAGTTTCCCCAATATAACAGCCATACATATCAAGTATTACACAGCAGGTGCATCCTAGCTAGTGTAAATTATATGACCGCCTTGTCTTATCTGGCTTACCTTAATCAGCGTGTCACCGGTCCAGATGCTACCTGATTTTTTTTATACCGGAGCAGCCGCACAGGCAGAAGCCTAAATGCCGGAATATCGCGGCTGCTATGACGATCCCAACAAAATTTTGTTAATACGATTTTTGAACTGCCTAAGGTTAGTAGAACTGGGAAAAGCTTACTCTTGTAGATCGTTCCACAATCTCGACACCCTTGGGACAAAGGAACGGTCGTACCAGTCAGTTCTGGATGTACGAAGTTCGACACGGTTACAATGGGACGCCAAAGTCAGGCGGGTCTGTCTGGCAGGCACATCGCGCGGGAGGCATCATGGAATGGAGTTCTGAGGAGCAAAGCCCGATGGGCTGGCGGTAGAAACGAGCTAGATCGACGACGGCGCGCCGGTGAGAAAGGGTCTCGATAATGTCTGTTAGAGAAGAGTCATCTATCAGTCGGACCGCCCTCCTCTGGACAGCATCGAGCATAAATAATGTAGTCGGGGCAGCAGCACCCCAAACTTGTGAGCCATACTCGAGGCTAGGCCTTATCTGGGCCTTGCATAGAGTGAGAAGGTCATGCGGAGAAAAGTACTTGTTAGCCCTGAACAAATAGCCTAGCTTTTTCCCAGCAGCTGCCGCTATTGACGAGTAGTGTTCGTGCCAGATCAGGTCTTCGGTGATCTGGACTCCGACCAGCCGAAATGAATCGCTCTTTGGCAGAACTCGGCCATCCATGGAAACCCGTGGGTTGCGAGACAATACTCCCAGAAATGGAGAAGTATCTCTAGACATCTCCGCCAGGCATGAGAGCTCATTGAAGGGCCCAGTGCTAAGGATGGACGCTTCTGCCTATCTCTGGGTAGAGCCAACCTAAGGTTGCTGATGGGACTGTTGTCTGGCCATAACACGTTAAGGCGGCACCTGCACGTGATGGGGGTGGCTGAGGATCCCTTGTGCGAACGCTGCGGAGTAGAGGAAGAGACCTCGGCGCACGTTTTGTGTCGCTGTGAAGCTCTGAGCTACTATAGGCAGACTATACTGGGGTCCATTACTTTGGACCCTCAGGACGTAAAGGAGCTTGGACTCAAGGCGATTCTCAACTTCGCTAAAAGGGCGAGGCTTGTGATTTAAGTATTGTAGAGGTGCATAAGGACCCGCTTAAGCGGCCTATGCACTGGCTCCTCATGGTGGCCGGGATGGCTCTAAAATTTTAAGATTCATTCATTCCATGGAAACCGGATGAGCGCTAGGACGCTTTTGTTCGTCAAAGTACAGTACTGTGTTTTGGAAGTATTAAACTGTACAAGATTGTTGCGTCCCCAAGTAATGATAACCTCCAGGTCTCTCGTCAGAGAGGAAGTCGTCGCTAGTCTTCTTTTTTCCAGCTCAGCGGCAGAGATCGGCTTGTCACTATGAATTTCTGCATATAGAGTGCTGTCATCAGCGAAGCTGTAGATGGGGTTGGTCGTGCAGGAAAGGAGGTCGTTGATATGTAAGAGGAACAGTGTCGGAGCCGAGACCGATCCCTGGAAAACACCCGCGTTGACGTTGTGGGATGAAGAGGAGAACCCGTCAATTACGACGGATATCTTGCTGCCAGAGGTAAACTCAGCCACCCATCTGCAAAGCCATAGGATGGAAGTTTGCTTAAGAGGGCAGCGTGCCACAGCTGATCGAACGCTTTCGTGATGTCAAGAGCAACGACATGAGCCTCACCAAAGACTGAATGAGTTTACTTCACAATTGTGTGACGTAACCTAGGAGGTCCCCTGTGGATCGTTGGTGCCGGAAAGCTGGGACGTTCGAGGTAGTCCAGAAGTTCGCGATTTATGCACCTCTCCACCACCTTACTTGTAACAGAAAGCAGAGCTATAGGCCTGTAGTTGTAAGGGAAAGTCTTAGATCCTTTTTTTGGGATGGGTTGGACATGAGCAAATTCCAGTTTTCTGGGAAGGTGCCGGATTCATAAGATATCTGGAAGAGATACGAAAGAACTGGGGCAAGCTCCGCTGCACACCTCTTTAGTACAATGGCAGGAATCAAGTCCGAACCAGAAGCTTTGTTGATGTCGAGCGACAAGAGCACTCGTCTTACGGTCTTATTCCTGAATGTTACCTCCCGCATAGTGTAGGGAACCCTTTGAATTGACGGCACTTGGGCGTTGGGGGAGGCGTCCATAGTGGAGTTGGCAGCAAAGATCTTGGCAAGCACTTCCGCCTTGGCCTTTGAGTCAAATATAATCGTTCCATCCTGACATGTAAGTGGTGGAAGGCTACTGTGTAAGAAGTTCATTTCAATCTGCTTGGCCAGCATCTATACGTAGAACGACCAACTGCCATTGCGCTGCGACATTACCCTGTGCCTAATTTATATATTGTGCTGGTTTTTGCCATTTTACAGTGGGGTTTTGTAAGAAGGTTCTGTGAGCCTTGATCTTCTGTTGGCGAGCAGTATCACACGATTTGTTAAACCAGCCGTTGGACCCTGGTTTAGGCACTTTTACTATGTGAGGGATGTATTCCTCCATTCCGACGAGGATAATTTAGGTTATCGAAGAACCTACAGCCTACGCATCCGCGTCAGTGAAACAGACATTTCGCCAAGGTAGAAAAGAAGTCTCTGAGCGCCTTCTAGTCGGCATATCCGTAATGCCAAATTTTGCGGCCTGTACGAGTTTCTGCTGCCACAGCGGGTTCTGACCGATACCTAACCTCCACAACACCGTGGTCTGAGTTACCTAGGGGGGACAGGACAGCAGGTTCCTGGCATGTGACGAGACGCGGGGGAAAAAAGTAGGGCTCGTCACCAGCTGGGTAAGCCCTTGAGTAAGAGCGAACGCTTCGACTGCACGAACTGCTGCATCGGTCTTGTTTGAGCCCAACGAAAGCTCATTATGGGCATTGAAACCACCAAGAAGAACTACCTCTGAAGCGGGGCGATTGATGTTCAGGAAGTCGATCTTGACGGCGAGATATTCAAGTAGGTCATCCCAGTTATGGTCCGAGGGAGAGCGATAAAGGTAGCAAATAAATTTTGGTGATATTTTGGAGTTGAGGCGAAGCCACAGAATGTCCTTCCGGCCTGATTCCAAAGAAACATCTCTGGAGCAGGAAAGACTGCTGCAGACAAAAGCCACAACTCCCCCGTTCTTTCTTAGATTGGAGTGCACCTCGTAATTTGGGAAGCTAAGATGGTTAATCGGTGCAGACACTGATATTTTTATCTCCGCCAAGAGAAGCATGGCGAAACGAGTTGATTGCTGGTAGTGACGAATAGTATCAATGTTGCTGATCAATGTATTTTGGTAAACAAGGGATTAGGAGTCAAATTGCAGGTCACTTTTCACTAAGAACGCATCACCTATTCGGTGATACTATTTATACTACCTCTGATGAAAGGCTGTGTAATACTGGTGACAACATACTGCATGACATTTGAAGGATCATTTCGTATTCACTGGTACCAATTCAATATTTATCTATAATATAAAATGAATGATTTCATAATAAGACTAGCCGCAAAGGGTTAATAACACCACGTGTAATTAAATTATTGTTTTTGAGTGTCCGTATTTTCGCCCGAAAAACTATTAATAGTCTAGGAGTTGCCACTGTGTCACGAGTGCCATTATATGTCATCTCATATTAAATGTGAGTCATTATTAGGCATATATAGGAGTAATTACAAAAATCGTTTGGTCGCCATATTTAAAAATGGTTGCAAGTGTGACAAATGATTATTCAACATAACTTCGTAACCAGTGAGCCGATTTTAAATTTTCCTATCTTTCTCATTTTTCAACAATAATCAGATTTTATTATTACACATTCTTTTGAATAGTCTAGTCGTTATTTAGATATACCACTGATTCAGTGTTTTTCAATTTTTGCTGTTAATCAGTTATTATTACTGCTTTAAATGAAAAAATGGCCCATTCTTGTAGAGTAAAAACAAATTTCGAAAAGTTAAAAATATTGAATTTACAAATACAGAACACAATTTTCGCTAATCAACGAAATTGAGATGGCTTAGTTTAAGTGCGGGGCGTTGTCAAGCTCATATAGAAATACATATATAAAGAACGAGGCCATCTATTTTGGGCATTAGGGCGCGGTATTTAAAAATGACCACCAAATACAAAAGCAATTCAATATATCTTCCTAACCGCTGAATGGAATTTCTAATGCTCATTAACTCCTTTTTATAGGTAAACAATTTTTGGTTATACGTCTTGTATAATGGAAAATGTCTATCGTATTTCACAAATGTTTATTCATACTAACCCATGTTTGAACTTCTTTCCACAAACCGTGCAGACAAAAGTAGGCACCTGTCCACAGTCGAACCTGAGGTGGCGACCAAGGGTCTTCTTCTGAGAGTACGTCTTTCTACACTTGGTGCAGCCATATCGAACGTTATCAGTATTGTACACCTTGAGTTGGGCATACTCCTCGTTATTCGAGGCATAGAAGATGATTTCTATAAGCAGAAACGGCGCGGTTCATAAATGATGTACAGGCGATAGGAAGAAATAATGTCGCCCAGGAAAATGATGCATGGTCCTGTTATGTCTTGTATAATAGTGAAAGCATCACAAAAGTGATGATTCTTATCACAGAAAGTATTTGTCTTGACAAGCTGTTTTGGTAAATTAAATATAGTTGCACGGTTCTTTCCAACAACGAATTTCTGATAGTCCGGCAGGGGTATTACGTGAAAATCTTACTACGTTAAATTGTTCACTGGGTCAAATGAAGTAGCCATTAGTACAAATCACGAGAGGACATAGAGTAAACGACAGCTAGTTTCAAGTTGATATTGAGTAGGAAAAATATGACGTTACGTAAGAAATCTAACGTAATGTCACAAAATTCCGTACTGTCAAAAAATTCTTACGTAATGTTCCTTTTCAAAGTTGCATAATACCCCTGCGGAACGGCCATTTACAGTAGACCAAATCAGTTCAGTTCACAAGAAAGCAAAATCTTACCAGTAACTTGTATTTGATAATTCAAGATAGTCAACAATTTATTCATTGTTGGAATGGTCTGACAGAGTAGTATTGTACTTGCCAGGCAGGCCAGAGATTATTATCAAATTGCCCTTACATGTAATTATTGGTATTTGAATGCATCGAAATGGAAAAGTGTGCTATATTTGGGTAAGCCATAATGTACAAAATTGTACTAAGCTGCAATGTCAAGAATACAATGCGTTTACAGTATTTATTAGCAGGACCTTATGCAATGGAGGCGACTTTTTTCTTTCTATCGACTGTATATTCTCACAATCGTCAAGCATACTCACACTGTAACAGGGTAAAATGCACTGCACTACTGCAAACACAAAAAAAAATGCTAAAAAAAAAATGGTACAGGTAATCAAAACTAAAACGCAAAAAAGAAGCATCACAATATATAGCATTGCAGGTAATCTAAAATACTAAGTATAGATGTAAAATAGCAGCTTATATCGTATTTATGTACGATGAGAAATACTACAATAGTTCATAATAATATACCAATATCCTATCATTTTATTCCTTCACCAGATATGTTTCATCGTCCATAGTAGAAAAGAACCAGACATAGGGAAATACTCTGTTTTATTCATTATCATAGTTCTTAAATAGTACTTTAGAGATAATGCACTAATTGTCCTGACTCTCTCCTTGACAGTATTTATAATATATACTTCGACAGTTTGTGGCAATGATGCTTTGAAACACCGCGTAAAATCATGATTTATGTGATGGTGAGCTTCGAGATTATGTCATTATAGTCGGGTAACGTGACGGATCTAAAGTATATGCCTACCTCATTTACGCCTCGTCAAAATAACCAGCGTGCGATTTCAAATTCCCGCGCTCGTATTGACGAGGGAATCGTAAATACCTGGGCAACAGGGACAAGCGAATGGAAGCCGCGATCGAGAACTCTTGCTGTGTACATTGATATCCATTCATACTGATACACCAGAGAATATGTTTTTCTACAGATATATATTTGTTGGTCATAACGTTAGAATACTACTTAGTATAAATCCAATTTGGGCGCTGAACAATAGCCGCCATTTTGATGAATGCATTTATTTCATTATCACTCATGATAAGGTGATAGATCATTTTTATAGAGAGCTAAGATCTTCATCGTTCTGATGCCATAAAAGTTTACTGAACTATCAACAGCTTACGGGAACTCAAGTGTCCGCCATCTTGAAAGCTTGAACTGATACTTTTATGTTAAAATAAGTATCAGTACATTAGTTTCATCGTCTCAAATCTTATTGGTAACCTGTCCAAAATAAAAGTACCCTCTCTCTCTTTCTGAAAAGCACTGTTGAAATAACATGCACATCTCTTTAACTTAGGAAGAATACTTGTTAGCTATTCATGTATCTAGGCCGCTAAAATTGCGGTTATGAGCTAAATCAGGATATCGCACAATTCTTCAGTTTTTCAGTAATTCAGAATGGTGCTTTATTTCAGGCTTCTTCAAATTTGTTCTAATTGACGATAATGCTTTGTTTCATGTTTCTTTAGGTTTTTTCTGACTATGGTTCCATACCATAGACGCCTCTCTAACGGTTTAACTAATTTGATGTACGATGCCCCATTTCATGCTTCCTGAGTTTTGCTTTGACCTTCATTTTAAATCCGCATTGCTTGCAAACATAATGTGGACCCATGCCATATTTATCACGTCAGTGGTTTATTGATGTTGATCCCTTCTGGTAATGTTCATTATATTCAAGATATCATCCTGAACAATTGTGGCATAAAAGTTCAGGAAATGCAGAAAATCGTGTTCTACAGCTTTTGCTTAAGCGACCTAAAATGGAAGAATGTTAGCTTTGCCCAGTCATGGAAAATTGTATTTGTCCCAGAATACAACAGGTGGTAATAAAATGCCTGTCCAAATTTCAGGAGGCGATTCTTGAGCTTTACGAAGCAGAACACGTTTACGTTCACTTAGTTCAGGGAACCAGTTACATTCGAAAATCTGCATATAGAAAACTCGTCAATTAGGATAATAGTTATACATTCTCGTGGGACGCATATGCGTTTGTGACTGCATCTGCGAAATAAAAAAGTACAGATGTTTATTTCCATCCGTTGGTAAAAGATGGTCAGATATCACTTACATAAGTGATCCTACCAAATTCAAGAATATCTACTGAATTGTCTGCTTTTCTCGATTAGGAAAATCTTCCGACTCGAAATTATTATCACTTAGAATGTGAAACTAGAGTCGCAGAAGCGCATTTTATGAAAATTGCGTTTGATGAAACGCACTGTTCACAACCCTAAATTTTCTACCAGATTTGCCAACCTAAAAAATATGATAGGCGCTCTGTGGAAATATATAGATATTTAAAAAAAATCCAATAAAAGGCGGACAGCTATTAGTGCAATTTGCATCCTTTAATAAAAAGATTGATAGACTTAATGAGAATATATTATATTTATATAGTATTTTTTTCTCATTTCAATTTTCTATTGGCTGGCATATATCAGCATATGGGCAATAATATCAGTACTGCCGATATGCTGATATACATGTTGCTATCGGTATATAAACTTGCGGCCAATTACGCTTCGTTTTCAAGATAGAGGATGACATTATTTTAAAAATGCGGTTTTTCTTAAGAACCCTAATAATTCTCCTGTCGATTAAACTTTGTTGAAAGGCTTTAGAAGAAAATACATATGAAAATTACCCCCAAAGGTAATCAAATCTGGATAAATCCATGTTGATGTATACTAAGTGACATATAAATCCGAACACCCAGTTTAAATGGTTTTATTTTAATAAAATTTTGTATAAGTACTTAATGAAGCATAATAAGTAAATGATAAAAATTTCAAAATGATTGCACTGCTTTAAAGCCCTTTGACCTTTAATAATGTGTGGATGCACCCTGATGTGCTACGCATTCTCTAACGCGCCTAGGCATGCTTCTGATCAGGTGGTCAATGTCCTCCTGTGGTATCTCATTCCAGGCAACCGCCAACTCCTCTCGAAGTGCTTCTAGAGTCTGAGGAGGACGTTGCAAATTGAGCAATCTCCTGCCCATCATATCCCACATGTGCTCAATTGGGGATAAGTCGGGAGATCTTGGTGGCCATGGTAACAATGTGACATCATTACGTTAAAAGAAGTCTATTGTGACTCTTGCAACATGTGGTCGGGCATTATCTTGTTGGAAAGTTGGATCTGCAAGGGTGTCAAGATAGGGTAAAAGATGGGGTTCTAGAACTTGGATATAACGCTGCGCGTTCATGTTACCTCTGATGAAGATTAAAGGTGACCTGGAACCATAAGCTATAGCACCCCAAACCATAACTCCAACAGTGTGATGAACATGTCTTTCAACAAAAAACTGTGGATTCCTCCTTTCACCACGTCGCCTTCTAACCCTGGCACGACCATCGTGCATGCCTAAACAAAATCGAGACTCGTCTGTAAACACTTCGCTTGCCAATAGGCCTTCCGTGTTCTGCAAACCATTCATTTGCAATGGACCTGGTAGTGGAGAAACGGTCCCTTAAGGCCAATAATCTTAGGCGGCGATCTTCACGGTCTGTTGTTCTACGGCGGCGTCCAGTGCCCCTTGCTCTTTGCGTACGGCCTTCTCGAAGCCATGCCTGACAACACCTAACCACAGTATCTACACTTCTTTGCACTCTAATTGCAATTGCCCGAAAAGAAAGTCCAGCTTCCCGAAGTCCCACTATACGGCCCCTATCAAACTCACTAAGTTGACGAAATCGTATAGGTCTCCGTACTCTAGGCATCGTAACGGATCGTATAGGATGTCAAGAACCAAAATCGGCCAACGTTGATTCTTTACTGCGGCTGAAGTATTCATTTTTAGAGCGTTAGTGAATTAAAAAAAAAACATTATAAAAACCGGAATGTCCAACTGATAAGGCTGAAAATTTTTTCACTTGTTATTTACAGTAAGATAAATACATTCACCAACTTTTATTAAAATAAAACCATTTAAACTGGGTGTTCGGATTTATATGTCACTTAGTATATATTGGGCCAAATAACGGCCCCTAACCTCATATTTTTTTCATGGGTAAAAGTTTGCTAATAAAAATTGAAAACTTACCGATGCTACACTCTCGTGAGTTTTTATAGGTTTCTAGAAAAAATGGATTCCAGAAAATATTGTTTTGATACTTTTTCGAATTTTTGGTTAGGAAATGAAAATTTCGCAAACTTAAAAGTCAACTGTCAGTTCTTTGTCGCGTTCTTTTCAAATTCATTGAGGAAAACATGATTTTTTTGCCCGAAAATCACCAAAATTCGATAAAGCTGCATTTTTACCGATTTTTCAATTTTTAGATATGCTTCTCTAGCTCAAAAGTTCAATCAACGGATATGTGTATAGTTGATTGTGGAGTTAGCCAAGCATTCCACTACTGTATTAAAGTGTCAGAAATTAAAGAAAATCAGCGAAAATTCGCTTTTTCCTTTTTTCGCAACTTTCCTGAACACGGACCACAATTTTAACGATGACGCCTGAAAGAATGCGCAAAAATACATATGTTCAAATACCAAGTCAATCAATTTAAAATGTCCTACTGTAAAAATATGTAAAACTGGTGAAAGTGCGTTTCTTCCGATATTTGGCGATTTTGCGGACAAGACATCATAATTCTGACAATGGAGCTGAAATAAACGTAAGCAAAGCCAAATACATATACAGTGAGCTACTGTGTTAATCGAGTATTCCCTTCCTGACCAAAAACGTCAATAATTGTAGAGCATCAGCGAAATTAAGGCTCGCAATTTTACGGGCAATATAATCATAATTTTGCCAATGAAACCTGAAAGAATGCACAAAATTACGCGAATTCCGTACTTGAGTTAGGCAAGTTATGACATTCTACCCTAGAAATACCCAAAATCGGTGGAAATACGATTTTGGCATTTTTGACGATTTTACGGGGAAAGTTAATGATTTTGTCGGTGGATTAGAAAGAAACGCACGAAAGTACAGATTCGCAGTGAGTCTCTATGCTTGGAACATCCTCATTACCTAGCCAAAATTATAGGTGCCCACAACAAATAGAGTTGGTGATTCGCCTTTGGATTAAGTTGTTTGTCACCGATATAGCTCCAGATACCTCAGCTTTACTTAGTTGCTCTGCAATTTCATTTACTCGCAGACTTCACGGGGGCTATTTCACGCAGGTTAAACTTAATTCATTGGGAAAACAATAACAAAACCTATAATTTATCAGTAAGGTACTAATTTATTTATAAATTTTATTAAGATATAACTATAGTTCTTCCAAGCACAATCCACAAGCGTGTGTAGTTATTGAATCTTCCTTTTCCTTACATAAAATAGTT